CTCAGTTCACCTTGCGCGTTGTTTGCAGATGACCTTAAGGTATGGAGAGTAACTGAGGCGCCCGACGAATGCGACCTGCTCCAGCATGACCTTGACCGCCTCTCCATGTGGTCAGCAAGGGTCAGCCTTTCGCTTAATCCGGTCAAGTCGGTATGCATGAGCCTGGGTAACAGTGGTAATGACCGTCTATAAGCTGGCCGGCCAACAATTACACCCATCGCCATCCGTGAAAGATCTCGGGGTACTCTCACGCTGCGATTTGAAATCCGTTGAAAACACGAGCAGGCTTTATCAAAACAGACTGCGCATGCTCTGGATGCTCAAACGCAGCTACTATATTTGTTTCGAAGAGGTTGGCACTTACCTCTTCTCTTCCATTATCAGACCAGTGCTAAAGTACAGCTCACTCACCTACTGTCCGTTCACTCAGGGCGAGGTGCAAAGTGTTGAGCGGGTACAGCATGTTGCCACATGACTCATCTCCTATTTACGAGGTGTGCCATATGAAGACCGATGCAAGAGGCTAGGGTTGTACACCTGTGTCAAATGCAGGTTGACCTTATCATGACGCACCGGATATTACATCTGGACGAATTCCCCATGTTGAGGCCTCTGCTGCATCTACGCACAGCAAGCAGTACACGAGGACACCGGTACAAGCTTGTCGTACCGGATTTGAAGCGGGTCGCTCACCAACTCTGCTTCGAGCGGAGGGTGGTGTATATTTGGAACAACCTGCCTGCAGAGATAGTCGTAGCAAAGTCGGTGTCGGAGTTTAAGCAACTCCTGGACACACTCTTTGCAGACTTGAGATATCGGGAATACTCACCATCATAATTGGTAGATTTGCTTGAGAAATATTAGATGCAGCTACACAGAGACAACTCTACTCGCTACATTTTCTCCGTATCAGTATCAGTATATCATAGCAGTCATGGCTGTAGGAGGGAACAAAGCGAATTGGAGTGGGAGAAAGAAACGCACAACGCAGACGCAATTGACGGCGGTTTCTGGCCATATCAAAAAGTGTATCCAAACTAATTTGTTCATCGTTTCCGCACTCCACAACCGGGAAGTCGAGAAGTTGCGACCGAGCACCTAGTCATTGCTTGGCCTCCCCTTTCATTCCGTTGTTTAGACCTGGGTCGTGCAAACGACTCACGTCGCGGGAGTCGGTGTGCATGACACCTAACCCAGCCATCGGATTCTGGTGCGTGGAATAACAGTGCTGAGTGGTTCACTCGTTCTTCATACGCGGTGAAAGCGATAAATCCCTACTCAGTGCTCCTACGAGATAACAGTCAAATCGCGAAGGTACAGATGGTCGAATGTAACTAACCTCTTCATATCTGTCAATTTGATGGCCAGATTCCACAAACGTTTTGTATAGTTGAGCGGAAGTCTACATTATTAACCCTACTGTTCAGGGCGAGAGTGGTTCTGCAGCCGTGTCATAAGCGGCGAAGATTCTCAAAAGCGGCTCGGGCATTTACTATACGGTTTGTGGCCTTTTCTATCCCACCGGAGCTGATGCAGCTGGTCACGCGGCCGTATTCGACTTCAGCAGACTACCCACACGTCCAGCAGCTGTCTAAGTTATTCGATTTTTTCTACGATTTCTAGCTAATCCTCACCAACGGTGATCGCAGGCTTAGATCTCTGCTAATCTTGGAGAAGCACTACATCTCGAATTTAACGCGTAGCTCAAACCGATTGATAACTAGTACTAATCTGTCATATGTTGCTCGGGACGCTTGTGAGAGTTCACAGGTTAGTGCAGTAACATCAGCATACTCCAAGTCAAGAATTCGACCATCTGGGAGCAGCGCCACACCTTCCAAATACTATTCATTGATCGCGGTAACACAGAGCACCCTTGTCGCACACCGCTGAGCTATTGAACGGGGTAGTCGTACACGCATAAAGCGCTCTTATAATATTTACGCGTTTCTCGGGTGCACCATTCCGAAGCAGGCAGTCCCACAGACCATATCAATATCCCGTATCGAAAGTGATTTTGCTGTTGAGCAACACAACTACGGTGGGTCGCCAATATGTGACCGTGTCCAAACAATCGATGTACAGTGAAGATGTGGTCACTGTTGTCTCGATTTCGACGAAGCTCCACTTGGTCTTCACGAACGGGACTTCCACAAGCGCCGGTGAATTTGTGAAGAATGACTGAAGCAGGTAACTTGGAAGCGATGGAGTTCATACTTCCTCTATGTTTTCCGCCTTCCAAATGTTGACCTCACTTGAAGATGGGGACAATAACGGAACTGCTCCAGTCGATTTGGATAGTTTCCTACTTACATAGTTTCAGCAATAAATCGAGTAAGTCATCCCACAAGAGCAGGTCCCTCGAACTCTTAGAGGGCTGGAAGATGATTACCTGGTCGCGCGGCCGTATTCGACTTTAGCAGGCTGCCCACTTGTCCAACATCTGAGCTAGAGAGGGGATCCAATGAACTGTCCAGGGAGCGTGGCGATTACTGGCCGGCGATAAACCTGGTGAGTCTGATCGAATAAATTACTTTCCAAAGTGCTCAACCCAACTCTGCAGGCGTGTTTGCAGGTTTGCGATAAGCGATTCACATTTCTCGCATATAGTCTCGCTAACGCGTGTTCTCCTGCTGTCTATCTTCTGTAAGAGATGGAATAACTTCCGATGTTTACCAGGGGCAGAGGCTATTTCCATTTCCGACGCACGACGAGACCACCAGGCCTCGCCGTCTCATTTTAGATTGGCACGCGCTTTTGCCCTGAGATATTTGTGAGTGTTGTCGTGTTCGCTTTCAGTCGTAATGCGTCGGCCAGCATCCAGAGACTGTGTAGGGATCCAATCTCCAGGTTGCCAATCAGATTCACCACTTGAAGATATAACTACTGCTCGTAAGCTTTGGCGAGCATGTGATCACTGGCTTTCAATTGTATTCACTGACCACTTATTCAACCTGAATGCCAGCGTACTTTGCTACTTATACAGAACATCTGGCTTTGCTGGTTGACTGGTGTCTATACGCTCACAGCGTCGTCTCGGGTCTCCGCCGAAACACAAGTCAGTACATTCAAATTCGTAGTCTGAGTTCACACTCGTGCTCCAAATCAATCACTAGTTGTGGACGCAGCCTCTAGATGTAACTTATCGCTATGTGACCGCTTTGCGTCCGTGGCTGGTCCGATGCTGGTGGACACCATCTCACCCTTTTGCTTGTTTTGTGTGGACAGTTATTGCTCGTGAGAAATAGACGAACATTCTCACATAGGTGTAACAACTGCTCACCCTTATCATTGCAGGAGCCTGGACCGTGTTGTCCGTCAAGATAAAGTCCACGATTGGGCAATTTTCCATTTTGACTTTTCAGATCACTTGCCAGCATTTTAGTACATATACTTCTGCTATAACGAAGCTGGCTTAGTTGACGGAAGAAGTCTTTCCTTTATTCAGCGCCACAGTTTATGTGGGCGTAGGCAGCAATTACCAACAGGCAACTGTTAGCCTCGCGCCACTTCCAAGCTTAGATCGAACCAACCATTTGAACGGCGCACATCTTGCTGCCGACTGGGACCCAGTCGGCTAGAACAGCTTCAGCCCAGTGCTCAGTGCAATACGCATACCGGCTTTACTGGCATTTAGAGTTACTTCATCTCCGGATAGATACGATGGAAAAGTACAGTTGCTGTCACATGTGAGTTGTAGCGTGGGCACAGCTCGAGCGTTGCATCTGGGTTTCCGATAAACAGCAGATATCAATCGATACAATCCCTAGTGTTCGGGCATGTGCTGCTTGTTGGCCGATTTGTAACGAAGTGTGCACTTTGAGACATGCCACTCTTAGCGAGGGTCCAGGGCTTCAAAGAAAAACGGATGCGCCGACTTTGTCCTCTTAGACGGCTACAGAATTGCAGTGACGCTCCGCGATTGTGTGTGGGTTACAAGGAGAAGAAAAGTTATCAAACCAAGGTGGGAAAAACCAAGGATTTGGGGGTTGAAAACAGTGGGATAAGTATGAATTTGGGACCGGACGAGTGGGGCGAAAAAACATAAGATGGAGACCGAAGAGCAGTCGCATCCTAACGCTCGTACAAGCATGCTAGTAAGTATTGATCAGTGTACCTTCTCCCACACTCCATATGGTTTTTCGAGATTTAGTCTTCCGTTTCGGTCAGTTCCTCGCTTACTTTGGATTCCTGTCAGCCACTTGCCTCCGCGTAGATACTTTGGAGTTACCGTATCTGAACTTTTAAGATCCACTGTTGTCATTACTACGTAGCATGCAAATTTTGCCCGAAATCGTGAGCGGTCTTGCTGTTGGGGCTCACGAAACCAGTTACTTCAGTGGTTGGATTTTCTTCCTACCTGGCTCAGTCACAAATTCAGTGCCTCTTTCGCAGTCTGTTTATCATCCCTTTAATTTCTCTCTGTTTGCTTTTTTACCCTCCATTTTCTCGTTCGTTGTTGCTTACCTATGGTGACGCAGACCATAATGACCAGTTCCGTCGTAATTCATTGTCTGAACTATGCTTAACTAAGAGAGCCACGGAACGGAACCTGCGATTTCTTTTGTTTGGTGCTCGATCAAAGCACGCTATGGGCCATTTGGTTTATGTTGCCGTGCCGTCCAGGACTTGGTCTCGCCTGTATTCCGCCTTCCATTGGATTCTTATCAGTGATGCATGAGTTCAGTTGCCGCTCACTTTCTATCCCGGAACCAACCCTAACGACTTAAAGATGCCAATTTCAGAAACGGAACCACCTCATTTAGCGGCAAATAAGCTGGAGTTCACTGCCTCCGTGTTTGCTTGTCTTCCAGTGTCTTGCCAATCTCTTCCACGCACACCCGGCACTGCCTATTCTGTTCATGCGCTGATCATCCATTTCTAACTACCCTTCACTACTCACAAGTAGTATTATTATAAAACATCGTTCATCTCACTCGATCATTTCATAGGTCACCATTCGCTCATCTGGGCCAAATTTGTTGCTTTTGATTTCACAGGGAAAAAACATCAGTACAACCTTCAGCGACGCGCTGTGGAGCAGGCGCGCGAAGCGCCCGCTACGATGCAGCCGGAGCGAGTGAAAGTGGAACCAAAAAAGTTCATCAAGATTGGTCGACCCGGGTACAAAGTGAGCTACTGCCCTCTTTCCCAATTTGCATGCGCTATTGTCTTTAGAGTGGAAGTCGCTTTAGGACACTATGTCGATCCCACAGTGTCTGGTATCATAGTGCTCTCTTGTTTAAGGTTGGAATCACTTTTTGACAGACCGCTACTAGTTTTCGCATGCTGACATCTCGTTCTCTTCTTATTCTGTCCCTATGATTGCAATGTTCTCTCAGTTGTATCTGTTTAACAGACGAATCTACGCTGATTGGTAATATTTGGCTGCGCTGAACTGTGTTTGACTGAAGCGAATGGAGAATCTCATGTTTGCAGAAACATCGTCACTTATAGAAGTGGTCTAGTTATACACATCGAAGCTTTCTACAGGCCAGTTCTGCTGTCATTTTCGCTGAGATGACCTTGTTGAATAGACCGTATGCTTCTTGCGGACCGAATTTTGCGACACAATCTGTGCTCATTTGATTCACTTGTATCGAGCACGTGTCCAGTGTTAGCGAGTGGTCTTCATTGCCGGACGCGATATCGTAATCAAGGAGTACGGTTATGCTCGCTCGGCTTCATAGGCGATACTGTGCACCCAAATAGTGCAGCGTACCCATCATCATCATCATCATCATACACCTTAGCCGGAGGTGTAAAACACCTAAGCTATTATGCCGCAATACATAAAAGCAAAAAGGGAAAATATATGCAACATTTGCCAGCTGAGCTACCAGCAAGGGATGGGCATCATTCTGGAAATCTACCAGCCGGCTACTAGGCAACGAAAAATTCTTCTGTAAAATTATAATATACTACGAACTGAGATCGTAGTTAGGGGAGGAGGGTAAAAGGGTTAGGGAGCGACAAAGAAACTCACAGCACGAACGCCACTGACGTCGGCTCCTAACCATATCAGCAAGTGTATTCAGCCAAACATGTTCATCGTCGTTCGGACCCCAACCAGGGAGCCGAGACGCTCCAACTGGGGCCAGCTCCGAAGTGAGGGCCTTCATTCCTCTAGACCGAGCCATCGCTTGGCCACCTCTCCTCTTCTTCCATCCACACCCTCCGGCGCGCAAACAACGCACCTCGCGGTAGCCGGTGAGCTGACATGCGTAACACAAGACCAGGCCATCGGAGCCTGGTGCGTGAAATGACGGTGCTGAGCGGTTCATTTCCTTTTCCTGTGCCGTAAACGAGGCGTCGAACACGCTCGGTGCTCACGCGGTGTTCCCACCAGATGTGAGCCAAACTGCGAAGGCACCGGTGGTCGAACGTAACTAGCCTCTTTATGTCCGCTGATCTAAGGGGCCAGGTTTCACAACCGTACAGTAAGGTCGAACATACCGCTGCATTGTACACTCTACCCTTCAGGGCGAGAGTGATCTCGCGCCGCCGCCATAGGTGGTGAAGGTTAGCAAAATGGCCTCGAGCTTTTGCTCTACGGTGCGTGATCTCATCTTCGATCCCACAGGCGCTGGTACAAATTCCCGGGTGTTTGTATTTCTGGATGACTTCTAGCAGGGGTCAGCGTAGTAGGCGATCCCTGCCTATCTTGGAGAAAAGCTTTGCACTTCGGTCGTGCATAGCCCTAAGTGACGGACAGCCAAGGCTAATCTGTCCAGTGCAGCTTGACACGTTTGTGACCTGCACAGATTAGGGCAATATCGTCTGCATACTCCAAGTCAAGAATTCTTTCTCCTGAGAATAGCTCCACACCTAAGTCGTGTCCTGTAAATGCAATCTTCATGATTTGTCAGTACAGAAATTGATGGAAAAGGTGGCAACGGACATCCTCGCCTCACACCGCTGGCAATATTGAAGGTCGACGATCGCGTGTCGTATGCCCTCACTCTGCCTGAGCTTCGCGAGTATAATGCTCGGATAATATTTACATACTTCTCAGGCACGCCTTTCCTTAGTAGACAGTCCCAAAGTGCACCTCAATCCACCGAATCGAATGCACCTTTGATATCGAGGAACACGACTACAGTGGGCCGCCAATATGTGTGGCGGTGCTCCAACAATTGACGCAAAGTGAAGATGTGGTCGATGCAGCTACGACCCTGACGAAACCCGGCTTGCTCTTCAGGAATCTGGCTTTCACGAGCGTCAGTCATTCTGTGAAGGATTACGGATGTAAGTAATTTGGAGGCGATGTGGATCAGACTGATTCCTCTGTGGTTGCCGCATTCCCAACGCGAGCCTACCTTGAAGATCAGGACAATAACAGAGCGGCTCCAGTCGGTTTGGACAGTTTTCTTCTCCCACAGCTCCACTAGTAATTATTGTAAATCATCCAAATGAGCAAGTCTCCCGAATTTGAAGAAGGCTAGACGAAGGTCATCGGGTCCCTCGGCCTTATTCAATTTCAACAGTCCGATCTTACGTTCGACTTTTGAGCGGGTGGGTGGATCCAAATGGACAGCCCACGGAGCAGGGCGATCATTGGCCCGTGAGGAATCTAACAATTTCGGCCCATTAAATTGCCTTTCAAGGTGCTCAGCCAAACACTCAGAGCGTTTTGACAAGTCATGGATAGGCTGTCCACTCTCGTCACGTGTAGTCTCACAAACAATAAGTCTCCTGCTGCCCGTGTCCCATATCGGATGGAATAACTTTCGATGGTTATCAGGGACAGCGGCCACTTCCTTCTCTGACGCACAACAAGACCACCAAAATTCGCGGTCTCTCTTTAGGCTGGCACGGAATATTTTCTTCAGGTCTTGGCGAATCTCGTTGTGTTCGCTTCCAGCCGGAATATGCCGGCGAGCTTCGATGAGTTCCGAAGGCCGCGAAGACACCCAACGTCCATGTTGGTGATTAGACTTACCACCTGAGGATTTGCCTGTTTCTAGGTAGGTCTGGTGAACATGCGATAAGTGACCTTCAACTGTATTCACTGAGCGCTTATTCAACCCGCATGTCAGCGTATTTCGATACGCATTCAGAACAGCTGGTTTCTACAGTTGACTGATGTCAATGCGCTCATAGCGTTGTCGTGGACATCAGCCAAAACGCGTCCGCATGTTAGCACATACAAGTGCATGGTCGGTGTCCACTCATATGCTCTAAATCGAGCGACAGTTCTGGACGCAGCCTCTGCGTCTTTAACTGATTGCAATGTGATCGATTTGAACCCAAGGCTGGTTTGAGGCTGGTGGGCGCCAAGTCACCCTCCGGCGGGTGCTGTGTCGGAACTTAGTGCACGCAACAAGTAAGTGGGCATCTTCACACAAATGAAGCAACCGCTCAGCGTTATCATTACGGGAGCCTGCAGAATGTTGGCCGCCCAGATGCAGTTCATCCGTGGACAACTTTCCAACTTGTGCCTTCAGATCCCCAACCAGCACAACAATGTCCATGCTTCTTCTATGGTGAAGGATATCGGTCATTTGGCGGTGGAATTCGTTTTTTACCCAATCATCGCTAGAGTTTGTGGGCACGTAGTCAGCGGTGCCAAACATACAGTGATGAGTTCGGCGCGACTTGGAAGCTTTGAACGAGACATACAATCGGACCGCTAACATCCGGCTAATGATTGGGATCCATTCAAGCAGAGAAACTTATGCCCAGGAGACTCAGAGCAATTGCAACACCAGCGTGGCCGGTGCTCGAATCTGCATCGTCACAGAATATGTGCAATGAGAAAATATTGCTGGTGTCACCTGAGGGAGATTGCATAGTGAGTAGACCTCGTCTTGCAGGTGAGTCTCAAGCAACAGATATCGATGGAGAGGTTCTCTAAGGTTTGGGCAAGTGCTACCTGTTGACCGGTCTGTGGCAATGTGCGTACATTGAGGCATGTCAGTTTGATGGAGGAACTGAGGCTCCAAATGGAAGTCGATGAACTGGGTTTGAGCGCTTGGTTGGACATGGGCTTGTCGATAGGGTAAGATTGACGCTTCGTGTTTACATGAGTTTAAACTAGGAGATAGACGCCTATCAAAGTATGGTGGAGAAGGGCCAAGAATTGGGGGGATAAATATGAAATTGGAACAGGACGATAGGGGTGCAAAAGTGTAAAAGAAGTCGGGAAGGCTTGAGCAGTAGCATCCAAACTCCTATCCACCCTGTTCGATGCAGCAGATAAGGCGCCTTTTATTATCCGCTGCAACGGCCACAGCATCAAGAACAATTCAAGCATGTGCAACGTACCATAATAAACTCATCTTCAGTTCGCAATTTGACTCACATCTGGTGGAAACACCGAGTAAGCAACGAGCGTGTTCGACGCCTTGTTTACGACATAGGAAAAGGAAAAGAACCGCTCAGCACCGTTATTTCACGCACTAGGCTCTGATGGCTGGGCCACATGTTACGCATGCCAGCCCACCGACTCCTGCGATGTGCGTTGTTTGCGCGCCGTGAATGTGGATGGAAGAAGAGGGGAGGTGGCCAAGCGATGACTTGGTCTAGAGGAACGAAGGCCCTCACTTCGGAGCTTGCCTCACTTGGAGCGTCTCGGCTCCCTGGTTGGGGTCCGAAAGACGATTAACACGTATGGTGTTCGTGCTGTGAGTTTCTTTGTCCCATCCCATCCCTCTTAGCCTCCGCCTCCAATCACGATCTCACTATCTAGCCGTATATAGTTCTGCACAGTAAATTTTTTGCTGCATAGTAGCCGGCTGGTAGCTTACCAGAACGATGCACATCCGTTACCGGTAACTCAGCTGGCTTGCATCTGTTGCAATTCTTTCCCTTTTTCTTTTATGTATTGCGGCACAATAGCTGACGTGCTTCCCACCTCCAGCTAACGTGTTTAATGATGATGATGATCTTTAACTGTATCAGTATTCCTCCACTTTCTCCCTTTTTCCGTAACTTTGTCCTTGACTCGAGACATTTCAGTACACGGCGCGTAACTTGAGTTTGTGGTGTACGTGCTGTTGTCTCCTATTCGGGCTGCTTTTTTAAGCTTCTCTGCTGCTGAGTTATCTGGGAACTAAGCGTACTTATATCTTGATGCGACGGACGTTTCAAGGAAGTCATTTGGCTGGTGCATACTTACTTTCGCATAGTTCCCCGATGTTGGGATCCTGCAAACATCTCAAATTATACGCATCTTGATTTTTTTATGTTCTGTTGGTTTGTCACAACAGTGTTGCTGAGGCCTATGGTCTTTTATATACCATGGTATTCAGGCCCTGAGGTCGAATCAATCGATTTCTTCAAGTGACTGCCGCTATATGTACAAACAGGACTGATCGAACATTGATCGCATGCACTCGACCATGGTACTGTGGTAACAGTGCTGATCCATCATTTTCAGTTCTCTGTCTGTGCTCATTGCGTTGGTCGATCCGTTGATACCATCAGTTTAGTGGAATACCACTGATCGTTTTGTCGTTATACTTTCTATTTCGTCTTGTCTAGGATCTTTCAACCTACCCCCGATTAAGCGTATGCAAAATTTTTATATCTTGTTAGTTAGTTTCGTTCGGTTGAACACTAGACTAACCATTACGTTCACACATGTGGCGATGCGTATTTTACGATTGTAATGCAATAGTCTACATATTGACCACTTCTGACCAACAGCATTCTCGAGCCCACCGCCTTAAACTTCATGGCTTAGCCGACGGAGGCTGGCATAATCCACTGGTGAGATGAAAGTAGCTCGTTTTGTTTACCAAATCCCATTGTTATTATGTGTGGCATTTATTGCTTGATTGGACTGAGCACCACAGAACCTGGCAGAACTGCAGTGCTTCGTGGTTCGACGGCTCCAGCTGTTTTGTTTCAAATCGACGCAATGATGACGATGGCACTTCACAGCAGTGGGCGTGGGGAGAAGTGGCAACCATAGATGAGCAAAGGAAAATTATCACCAAACTAGTCAGATAACAGGTTTAACCGATACTCCCATGTTACAACTCGGCCCGTACTGAACCACGACATTTAGTAGAACACAGTATTCGGCCCGTAGCGCACGAAAGTAGGATACGTTAGTTTCAGCAATACACAGAATGTATTGTGCCGCCACAAAGATAACGCTTCGCATAAGTTCAGACAGTCTAATCAATGGTTAGCTGAGGTTAATGGACCCACCCACTGACTCTGGTGGATCCAACCAATAGGAAGAGTTTCATCGATGACTGGCAGCGTTGGACTAATACACTGCGCAAATGTCACATCCCGTGATAATTTCTGGTCTCGCCTTAATGCCATAATCAAACGAACTGGTTTGGCTGCTGTCGCGGCTTCCTACCTTCATACAACTATCCATTAGAATCGATTATCGCCACCCGCGACTTTCAAAGCAACTATTGGTTATCATATTTTACCTCCGAACTTCATGCGTAAGCATAATGACGATATTGTTTGGTTTGGAACTCAAATACTTCAAATAACTGTTTTGGTTTCTTGGGCAGACGTACGATTTGGCATTACCATTGTCAATGCTATGAAAATTTTCATTGTTTCTGATAAATTAGCAAGAAAAGTCGCATAGGGTGTCGCGGCACGAAACAAATGCGTTCAATATTTGGACCACTGAGGATTGCAAGATGCCAACATTTGGATAGGGCGTCTGGCACTACATTGTGGCTGTTGCTTACCAATATATGCATGACGGACAGACGGGACAGACGGCCGCTAACTGACTTGATCGGTTAGTTTAGCGTTCCATTTCTTCTATCGTGTGATAGTCAATTTTTCCTTGTTTTGCATCACTTTAATAGTATTAATAGTAACTGATAATGGGGGAGAATTATGAGAGTTCAAAAGAAAACACAACACTAAAGGATCAGGTACAAGACGTGTCCGTACTCCAATAGGTCAGGTCAAGAAATGAGAGACTACATACAAAGTACCACTAATCTGGTGGCTTTGGTTGGGAGTCCTGGTCGTCCTCCTCTCTAGGCCTAAGCAACCTGACAGTGTGTTGCCTACGCAACACTATGTAAAATTCTTCAGATACTTTCGTGATGACTTGACCTTCGCAAAGGATGCTCAACAGTGCCCTAACTGTTACATCGAGCGGGGTAGATGTGGGTTAAGCCACTACCGCCCAGGTCTTCCCCTTACGCTTTCCCACCCCTGTTGTCCCGCTTCAGCTTCACGTTTATCTCTTTGCTTTCTATCGCCTCAATCTCCGTCCTTCCGATCGTTTTGTGAGGCGGTTTTATTCTACTTTTGACGCACACGTAATCGCAGAGCATCGCTCCGGTGCATTTGACAAGTTCATTTTCAACGAAACGGAACATCGTAGTTCATCCGCTCCTATTTAGAGCCCTTGCTCATCACCAGAACTGGAATGCCTCGACGTTTACACTTTGTTGCGAACCGGTGAAGACGGAGCACTTCCACTTCCATGTGGCCGCTCTTTCCATAGCATTGCAAAATCTGAAGTAAGTAACAAAATGGTAGGGCGGCAACAGAATGGGATGCTTTGTTTCATAAGGAAGGTGTGATCAATGTGCTCTTACTCCGATTCGTAAAACTCCCATCTCACTGAAAAGTGCTAGGTTTTGCAAGGAGGGTGCATTGCGTTTCAAGTACCCAAGCGGGATTGGGTCCGTTGATAAGGTCAATAGTTTCGAAAACAGTGACTCTGTACCATCGATGCAACATTAATTAAGCTCGGCTTCATTAACTTCTATCAGCTTCAGTCACCCCGTCCCAGTTACATCCGACGCTCGGTTGAATCTTTTTTGTGTTGTATTGACTCTGATGCAAGACTACCAGCGAGTCACTCCAAACAGCGACAACGTTCCCATTCTCATTTCCTCGCCCACCTGAGAAATCAGACTGATCGCAAGCACAGTGACAGTTGACTCCAAACGCGGGATAGTTACTGTCTTGGTTGGCGCGAGACTTTCCAATTGGAATGGAAGACGTTACTCGTCCACCCTCACATTTCACTCTGACACGTACACAGCAGCACCGCAGCCTGACTCTGATGCGTCCGCGAAACATTGCAGCGTGATTTCGGCTTAATACAACGCAAATATGGATCAATTCCAGAATATGAATGTTGTACGCAAGGAAGTCATGTCACGCTTTTCTAACTTGATCACCACTTAACGCGTCCCAATCCATCTTTCTTCTGACGATCAGCTGTAGCAGTTGCTTTGCTGGGAGAACAACTGGATCCAATTCACTTCGGTGTCCCGGCCTTAGCTGTTCAACCGAACTGAATTGCATATAATCTATACTTACTGACGCGGCTTGTCCCAAGACCTCTAGCCTAGTTGATTACACACACGCAACTGATAAAATGTTTCAGTCATAAACTCCACGGTGCTTCGCTCCGTTTGCCGTCGGCAAAACACGCCATAATACCTGATCAACAGTCGGCTAATGGCCGAGTGGTCTGCGCGTCTGGTTTGCAATCATAAGGTCACCGAATATCTCGGAAAAATGCTTGGAACCGATCGTGAACTCATGATTTCAGAAAGGTTTGAAAACAACCGGTTGGTATAGTTTGTGGGCAACGTTTTCCTTTTGACACAAAAGCTTCGTCAGACCGAGTGAACCGGTCTTGGATTGGTATAGCACTTATAGCCAATTGGGATGCTAATCGGTTTTTTTCACCTTTCTGAAATCTTAAGGTTACCCGTTCGAATCCGCGTAGGGGTGGGCATGTTCGCGGTACACAGCCCGCGCGCGACCGGTGGTGGTCACGTGGCAGCGATGCGCGGTTACGGCGTACAGCTAGCGAACTATTATTATTTATTTTAATACTTAGTCAAAAGATTTTCGGTTAACTTGACCTGGTCAAAATAAACGATAAAATACGAGAAGTAATGGTGTTGCCGGAAGCCACACGATGGAATTCGTTACTTCTCAATCAACGCTGTCACCAGTTATGTGCGATCCTTCGTAGTCATCAGCCACCTGGGACTGCTTGACTCCTGCTATGTACAGTACACAAAGATAGCTCTAATTCATAGTTCCCTCTGATTCATAATGATTCATGCGAAGGCCCCGTTCGCATCCTAGCCTTATATACCAGCGAACTTTACCGAGCCGTGCATATGCCGTATCTGTGTGATGACAGCCAGAGGTGAATCGCTCTCATTGGTTAATGAGTGACCACGTGAACCAGCGAAATTGTTCCTATTGAGCCGGTTTGGTAAAGGTCCCATGTGGCGGGACCGAATTCCAACAAGAGGGCGTAAGAAATTTTCACGCTTAATTAAGTCGCACAGTTTTGTGCTGTTTTCTTGTCTAAGGAGTTCGCAAATCCGTGTCGGTGATCCAACTTTTTAGCTTATGTAGTGCACTCTGGAATTAACGGCCTACTCTTGTATTCGTTTTTTCTTTCGGATACGTTCTTCATTGCATTTATAACTTTTGGAATCTTATCAATTTGCAGTCAGTTTTTGCTCACTTTCTCTCTACTCATCACATTGTCTTTTGTCACCATAACGACGCCAGTCAACGTCCTCATCTCGAGACTCGGATAGTTTTCAATTAACTACTTTACACAGAACCGCCGTTATCTACCGCTCTTTGCTTTTGTTGGTTACGACTAATTCTCTCAACGGATATATCTGGCCTTCTGCTTCGTTTTTCTCACAATCGCGTTATCGCCTGTAAACCCGTTCACGATCCCGCTTCTTGAAGTCGTCCTCTTACCGATCGGTCTCCTTCATGCTTTATCTCATTTTTGAATGTCAGCGACATGCGATTTTTTATTTACGTCGCTATGCATTAATCATTTTACCCACCATATCATCGCTGATATTATTGGCTTATGCCACAACACTCCGTTTGTTCTTAACACCGATCTATCAGTGTGTTCACTTTGCGAATCTTATCACAACCTGCTGTCATTTTTGTGCACCGCACATTTTCACTCCACAGTCGCTGTTCTCTTACACTTATTCCATCATACCCTCTCCGCCCTTTTGTTTAGGTGACGAAACAAAAAGATCCGGACACTGGTCAACAGTCGATGTTGTTCCAAATTGATTACCCCGAAATTGCGGATTCCGCCGGAGTATTACCTCGCCATCGTTTCATGTCCGCTTACGAACAACGGATTGAACCACCGGATCGTCGTTGGCAGTATCTGTTGTTCGCCGCGGAACCCTACGAAACGATCGCGTTCAAAATCCCGAGCCGAGAGGTGGACAAAGATCCCAGAAAACTATGGACCTACTGGAATCCTACTGTTAAGCAGTTCTTCCTACAGGTACGCGAACCAAATTTGTCACAACAGCGTCAGCAAGGTACCGCTGTCATGTTCTGCTTTTCTGTTTACACGCAGTTAAGTAGATGTCTATGCTCGAGAAGGAGTGTGGACTGACTCCGTTGATGAAACGGGGCTGCCTTTCACAAGCCTCCGGTTTCTATTCCTTGGGGTTTACACTGAATATGGATGGTGCAGCGCAAACCACTTATGGTCCCTCTGTAAGCGCAGGCGTCCTGTGACTGCCCCATGAAGGTCACAGTGACAGACAAATCCGAAATCGGACGCCGTCAACCATGCTCGAGACGCTGTTGACCTTAAGTTGAGCACATCGTTGGACACTGGCTGCGGCAACCCTTAGTCACAGTGACTGGGTCTCATACAGCGACGCGATGATGCTTGTGAGTCAGCTTCATGTTTACCTACGCCACCTCACTCGGCGTTTGCCTTAATCAGACGCTTCCGTCAAGAAGCGATGGCGACCTCTGCCTAAAGTAGCAAGTACGATGCTACGACGTGATCGGTATCATTGCGGATCAAGGACATACCTACAGTGCATTGAACATATTAAAAGACTGGTCATACTTGCTCATCAGCTCCTGTAAAGTATTGCTATCATCTAGTGGGACCACCGAATGGCACTGGATTTGCACTGGATTGGGTGATCTACGCGGCTCGGGTCATGTTCTTCGCATGCTTGCTGGCTGGTTGCACTGATGCCCCAAGTACACCTAGTCGGACGGAATTCCGAGGTACTCACTCGTTTGCATGACCAATAAGGGCGAAGTGACGGACCCGAGGTCTGAATTGGATTAGTGCACTGGTCCTGGGTGCAATCACAGCGGTGGTTGGCTACTCTATCAGGCTTGACCCATGAGGCCAGTGGTGCTGTTGCATTTGGTCTCTTGTCTTTTTTTCCGACGAACACGTTTACTGATACCTTCTAATTGTCGACTACTTATTTAAAACGTGTCTGCTACTGAGTTATTTGTCAGATAATGCTGATTATCCTGTTGCATTAATGGCCCACAATGGAGCCATCTCACTGATAGCAAGATTTTCCACCTGTTTCTGAGCTAAACTATCACTATTGATAGGTATAGCGCAAAATGATATACAAAGTCAAAGCTACTCATTAGAAATTATTCCAAAAGACAGCTGTTAAACTAAAAATATCAAAAAACCGCGATAACTTTATTACCAAACTAGTACATCATTGCATGTTAGCTAAAGTTGAAAACACTGCTAAAGGGGATGAATGTGAGACAAGGAAACTCACAACACGAACGCCATTAACATCGGCTACTCATCAGGTCAACAAGTGTATTCAGCCAAACGTGTTCATCGTCCTTCGGACCTCGGCCTGGCAGTCGTGAGTCACCAGCCAGCATCAAGTTGGTACCTTTCTCTTGACCAAACCATCAGTTGGCCTCCTTTCTTCTTCTTCCATCCACCCGGGTTCGTGACTTCATCCTCTATTTTACAGGCGCTAATATAGCTGCCTAGATACTTGAATTTCTGCACTAATTCTGATTGATCACTACTAAGGTTCAGCGCAGGTATAGGTCCATGCCAATCTTGATGAAGTGCTTTGTAAAGCGTAACCCGAGACAATTGACAGCCAATGCTGGTCTGTCTAATGCTGCTTGGCACGTTTGGGAGCTGTCACAGATGAGCGCAATGTTGTCGGCATACTCTAAGTCAAGAACTCGGTCACTTCAAGTCCTGTCCGGCGAACAGCATTTCCATGACTTCGTCAATGGCGAAGTTAAAGTGGTGGTGACAACGGGCACCCTTGTTTCACAACGCTGAAGATATTGAAGGACGGGGACAGTTTGCCATAAACCGTCGCTGTGCCCGAACTAGGCGCGTGCAGCGCTCTGACAATGTTTACATATTTATCCAACACACCTGAGCAGACAGTTCCAACTTGTACACCGTATCGAAGGAACCCTTGCTGTCGAGAAACAACTACGGTGGGTCGCCAATAAATATGGTGGTGCCCCAACAGTTGACGTAAAATAAAGATGGGGTCCACACACCTTCGATTTTGACGAAATCTGGCTTGCTCCTAACGAATCTGGTTCTGATGGGTGCCAGTAAGTCTAGGGAGGACAACAGAGGCAAGTAATTTAAAGGCACTTAATATCTGCGTGATTTCTCTATGATTAGAAATCCGCGAGAGTATTTGTAGCTCGGGATGCGGATGAGGGTATGCGGGTGTTTTCCGAGCCAACTCCTAGAACACCCGCATACCCTCATTCTCCATGATTACCGGATCCCGAATGCGAGTTTCCTCTGAAATTTGGGACTTTGACGGAATGGTCCCCATCTGTTGGGACATTCCCATGTTACCACAGCTTCATTGATATGCTGTGCGGATAACCCATAAGAACAGCTTCCACGCATTTGTAGTGGGCTGGACGAAGCCCATCCAGTCCTGCAGAATTATTACATTTCAACTTCTGCACTTGATGGCGGGTCCAATAAAATGGCCCAGGGAGGACAATCAATGACCGATAAGGAAGCTGATTACTCTGGTTGACTTAACTGATTTCCAAAGGGTTTGGACAAACTGTACATAGGCTGTCCACTCCCTCCTTGAGTTCCCGAACGAGATTGGCACGTTAGCGAACTATATCGCAGACTTACTGCAAAATCAGAAGACAGCGAACGACCCCGTGCTATTTCATCATGCATACCAACAATAAATGCATGAAGTGGCATTGCCTCTTCGAAATATTTCGGCGGCACACGGCAGCACACAACGCTTGTGGAATGCATCCAACGGGCTACCACTTCAGGATTCTGTTTATCAGTCATAATACAGGCATCAAGTTGGACAGATCCATTTACCGTAACTTCTAATTTGATAAACTTGATCAAACAAACAAGCGTCAGCCGAAATATGAGTCTAGCGAAATCGATGCAACTGTTCACATGAAACACTAGCAGGTCAGCTACATGGAACCGGATCTCACTACTGTCACTTGGCAGCGCAGTACCCTATAAAATTTCAACTCACTTATGACGCAACTTTCGCTAATCCAATTGAGGGATGACGCGCTCAACCGATTGGTGGACATCAGCGTTATTTATCCGCTACTCTGAACGGAAGTCTGGTAACCACCACCCGCTGATCAATCTTCCATTGCATTTAGTGCGTATTGATTATGTCTATACTCCATACAGTACCCTACTGAGCACACTGCTGTCTCTCATGGAGCCACCCATCAGAGCTTGCTAGTTTTGTCTGATAGTTCCTTTGGTTTACAGCCGAATTTCTAACATGATATATTCCACTTGTTGCACTTATTTCCAAATATTGTTTCATGATTTATCCAAGCATTCTACAAGTTTATTCATTTTGTCGTGAAAAGAGTGATTTAACCAGTCGGTTTGATTTATAGTATTCACCGACTCGTGGTATCTGGCTGGCTAGGCCTAGGCCAGTAGGCAGTATTTCTCAGCTAGTGATCTGCTGGTAAGTATGTAACTTACTCTTCGTTCCGATCGTATACTAAACGCTACACTACCGCTGTAGCCCGTTTTGCGCTCCTTCAGTGATCTCATTACAATTTGGCCATTTTGTAAACATATACTTTATTATTATTATTATTATTATTATTATTATTATTATTATTATTATTATTATTATTATTAATATTGGTCCAACACTAATCCACTCCTCTTGTTTCTGAAACACTAGTCCGTGAATTGGATATGCGCCAGATATCGATTATCGCTCACTTCTGAGCACTTTACTCGACATGATTCTTACCTGTCATTCTGGTTACAGTACCATATCATGAATGTGCGCGTTTCGCTATGTATACCGTTCATCCGGATCGATAAAATCTGTGCGTTGACCAAAAGTTATTCTTCCTTTCTTTCTGGTGACCTAACTTACATTTCACTCTGAACAAACTCACTTTTTGTGTATCACACATGATGAACCGCATTTACGTACACAGCGAACCGTATCTTGTCGCATGGTTTGGTCGGCTCCCTCCGGTTTCCCTATGACAAACAACCTAATTGGGGGCCATGCTTGCTGTCCCGCATTCTTTGTTCTGATCACCTTATTCGTTTTCCGTCCCCACAGTTTGCTTACAAATTGGAGAACCAGTCTTCCTCGGCCGCGATGTTGCGTGATTTAGAAATGCAGAAAGCCCGAGCTCAACACGCTCAGCTTCAACTGCAGCTACCTCCACCCCCGCCTCCGCCTCCTCCACCACCACCCCATGTTCTCGGATTGCCTACACCGGGTCCTGGTTTTCTCTTTGCGGTATCAGCGCCGGGCGCCATGCCCCCTCCGCCCCCTCCACCACCGAATATTGTCAGAGATCCCAGTGTTGGACTGCTACCACCGCCACCTCCGCCACCGCCTTCGAGTGCTGCTTTTACGACCCCACCACCGCCACCACCCCCTCCACCACCCACCGGTTTGGTCACCTCGGCACCGAGCATGCCTCCACCACCACCACCACCTGGCCAAGCATAAAACACGGTTCTACGTGACGCCGTATCCCTTTGCCAGTGGCATTCTTGTTCGTAATTTTATACCGATATGTACTACTTTCGTTTTCATCTTCAGTAGTTAGGATTGGGCCACTCACTCTGCTTCACTGGCCAAGTAAGCTTCGGTTATTTCGACTGTATACCGCCCATCGTTACTCCATGTTTATGGCCACTGCATCAGATCAGTCAAACAGAAAAGCACGTAAACTACTCGTGGATTGAGCGGCAATGTGGCGCTTGATGTCATTCTCTAAATTGTGGACGTACTTCTCTTCGCGAATTCCGTTGGCTTGTCATCTAGGCGTATGCAACGGAAATTCCGCAGTTCAGGCATCTAACTTGCGACATTTACGCTTCAGGTTACGGTCCGCAATTCTAACGAGGTCTTCACATTCTGGCAATATTCCGACCCGCGTACAACCGCTAGCGGTTGTCAGGCAGTGATAGATCAGTAAACCGTGGCAGTGTATTGCTGGTATGCATATTGTCATTCTGCGTCGTGAAGTTTTGAATACCCATAGTTGTGTCGCAGCGGGAACTAAACGTGCTGAATCCTTTTCACTGACACTTAGGCTGGGATGTATACCATGTGGCCTGGTCGTGCAACAACAGATAGCACTGAATAAGTTGCGCTGGCTCGGGCATGTGCCTGGTCACCGCTTACCTAGGAGGGTCTTGTTTAGTCTGCCAGGTGTAGGGTGGCGCAAGGCTCGAGGTGGACAGAAGTTGACTTGGCAGCGTGAAATGAAGTCACTGACGACCAAACTGGGTGCCGTTGGTCCGTCTGGCCTTCCGGGCTGTAGTCCATGTGACTCACCTTGTGCTTAGCTCGAGACTTTACAGGACATGTCTCGCAGTAAACACCAGTGGCGCGTCTGCTGCCGTCTCGTAGTTGGATTGCCTGTTTAAAGTGTGTTTGGTGCTGAGTTATCTGCTGGGTAATGGCTGATTATGACGCGGAGTAGTGAAAGCCGCAAGAAAGCTGATTTGTTGATGCCACCTAATCTTTGCACGATAGCCAGCTGATTGTGACAGTATGTTGTCTACCCAAGGTGTAGGCGCCTTGACTCTGAATGTTTGCTTAGGGCATTAAGGTTTTCAGGTAAGTCCCTCTTCTCTCCCTCTTCTTATTCTTTATTTCATATGCCATCATGGTTGTATGGCAGCGAAGCATCAGTTCAAATGCCTAATGTGTTGCTATTGTTGTTGTTGATGATGATGATGATGATTGGTCGTGCAGGTGCGGATCCTTCACACTGCTTGGCCAATGAACGGCTAGCATTTGAACATTGATTTATCACGGGTTACACAAGGCAGGTGCTTGACAAGTCACGTTAGATGGTTGGGATGAAAACTACAAAATCAGCAGGTATATGCATCACCTGTTTAAGTGTCTGTTGAGTTAACTGCGTTGCTAAATAAATAAAAAATATACAAAATGTGTGCAGGTGTACGGAAAAACATGGGGCGCAGTGATAGTCTACGCAATGTGAGAAAATTAAAAGTAAGGTCACTCACTCATGTATTATCTCCTTGGGTCCATGTGGCACATAAATCCGGTAGAAAGGCATGGCTAATGTGAACCACAATAGCGCGATTTAGGTAACAAAATGCTGGGAGCTAGTATCGTCGTTTTTTACAAATATTCAAATTAGGGGATGAGACGAGTGGGTTTGGTCGAGAGTACCAGGGTTGACAGACCCGAAGAGAAAAGTAATTCCGTCGACACTCTGTGCGGCTGTATTGTTCATACAATTTCAAGCAGTTACCTCTGAGCTTAGTGGTGTTGCAGCGTTTCAGCAAATGTTGGCATACATGGTTCGGATCACTCAATTTTTGGTACGGTAATTTGAGATCACCGCGAATCCTTCGGTAGCGTCCGCTGAAAACTTAGAGTAAATTCAGCCTTTGCTAATAGGAGACATTACGTAAGCTGTCGACATACTTTGTTGCTCTTAGCTGTGGTGCCTCTGTCGCTTCTAGGTCACGCTTCAACCAAGGTTGCCAAGCTTGGATGGCGTATTCAACGTAAGGGCACACGTAGGACTTTTGCATCATTGGGAAGATGGAAAGGTCAAATCTCTTGGAATGCCTTCCGCAGCAGGCGGACGTGCTGGCTACCACTTTTCGCAACTGCGTCAACCCGTTTTGAACAGTTGAAGACATTCTGTTCGAGCACACCAAGGTCTGCAATTTGTGCCCCAAGCCAATGTATGTAGTCGTGCCTATGGTGTAGTTCAAAAATGCGACATTTGTCTACTTTGAGTGGTAAGATATTCTGAACTGACCAGTTCAAATTCGTGTTAAGATCGCGCTGGAGCATTTCGTCGCAACGAGACTAAACTTTAACAAAGTGCGACGGTTTGCGTACCTCGACGACCCATTGAGCTTTATTGAGTGGGGCCCTCGGGCCCCTTAAGGGCTACTCCTGCCTGGTTGGTCAATGGTTAGATGTCAGACGAACTCAGTCTCCTGATCCACTAGGTTGGGTGTTTGCAATGGGATGGCGTCCATTTCTGTGAAACCGAATGGTTACTACATCCGCTGCCTTGTGCATAGGCTTTTGAGCCAAAGGCTATCGTTAAGGGCCCTAGTCGTTCTCCCGTCTAGCTCTAGGCGCCCTGGTACTATATCGGCCCACGTAAAACAGTGACTGTTTCCTCAAACTTCGATCACATCATCCATTGGCCATCGCATAGCTTATCAAGAGTCACGTTATCTGCTGCATACAGCAGTGCAGATAAGCGAAAACATGCTACTGCTGGCGCATCGCTTCTTTACTCTTCACCTGTTTTTCTTACTCCACTCCCTACTCCAATTACTATTCTTCTTTTTATGATTCCCAGGTTAATTGACAGCAGCTGTAATGCCACTGGAGTCGAACCATCTGCAGCTATCTTCTCGCACCATCCACTGGACGCCAATCACCAACAACTTCTTATAAGTCCACGCTGTCCCGTTTCCCTAGCGGCGTTCAACGTTTGCACTCTAAGATAAATATGTCCGCAGGCTGCACTCGCACGCATCTTGGACACGCTGAGTATTGACGTATGTTGGATGTTCTAGGTTAGGATCAGTGAACCTGAATGGGGTTGTTGAACAAACTGCGTTAAGCTTGTCTTCTCGCTGTTGGTTTCACGCATCCGGAGACGCGGATGCGGCAACCTCTGATCAACCGGGGGTTGGCATCGTTCTCATCTCCAAGGCTGAGCCACAGTTGGTTGACTGGGTTCCGGTGAATAGCCGTTTGTGTGCAGCCCGTTTGACGACGTTACCTAAGTTTGATTCACGAATCAGTACTGGAACCTGTTTGTTCGTAGTTTTGCTTATGCTCCCACTGACTGCAGTTCTGATGCTGCCAAGGACGCCTTCTACCACTTACTGAACACGCTACTGCGCAGTGCAACCAGTTCAGATATCGTTGTTACTGCCTGAGTATGAACGCGCAAGTAGGTCGTCTGAGCCTTTCAGAAGCTAAGCTAAGTGGTAAATATGGACTTAACTTCGACCGGACTGACAACCACGAGCGTCTGTTACAGATATATGCGGAACACCGGATGTTTGTCAGCAACACCCTTGTAGAAGGATTCTTGATGCTTTGTGTTCAACTCAGCCATCTGTCAACTATCGGGAGTGGACTACTCCGACTGCAATTATCTTCCCTCTTACCTTCGCCATTATCACTGCATTTTTACCCCAATTATCGCGTTATCAGCGCGACTTTCACCTCAATTATCTTTGCGTTATCAACACGACCTTCACCTCAATTATCTCCGCACGTGCCCGCGCTACAGGTGTTTACATGCTTTCTCGCACTGATTATGAGCAATGTACTCATCATTCCCCATACTCTCATTTCACGTTATCCGGCCTTCATCCGGTCTGTGTTTGACCAATCGCGTGGACTTCACTTGTCCTATATAACCATTGTTCTGTATTCCGTATGGCATTGACGATCTGAACCCTTTCTTGTTGGTCTCGGACCGGATTGTATTTCTCTGAAACTGCATTGAGTGGAAGCGCAACTATTGAGGTTTGTATTATATTTGCTTCCTGATTGTTTGTTAACAGTACCGTCATCTTGTTCAGTGTTTTTGTTACTTGACTGGCTGGATACGCGTTGGCTCAAGGCCCTTCAAAGCGAAGTGTCGCTTACAGTACTCAATACTGCTTCCTCGTTTGAAGTTTGAGGTTTCGGGTGCCGTACTCAACAGCATTTCGTTAGATTTCAACTGGATTCCGGAATTTGACGTTCTTTACGCTTTGAAGTGAAGTGGAACTCATTCAATCACATTGGACAAGGTCTGCAAGGAATTTTGCCTCTGAAAATCCCATGGATGATGCAGCATACCGGCAAGCCCTTGATGAATATCATGATGGTGCTTCATGCTCTGGTTCACATGTAAGTCATAAGATTGAGCATAGCATTATTTCCCGTCGTTCGTCTGCTGTAATGACTATAGCAGAGTTAACAAGAAGACAGTCAGATTTCGATAAGCAGAAGCGTTTAATAGACCTTGAATTAGAAATGGCCATGCTTCGAGTAGAATTGGAAGAAGGCAATGTCCACTCTAATCTTAAAGTGATATCGGCCCCTAGTTCTGGTGAGAGGAGTCAGGGTATAGGCGCTTTTGTTGATCAGTGTCAGTTGTCTGTAGCCGAGGCGTACGATCACAGAGCCAATCGGGGAAGGTTAGCGTCACAGCAGTGCTTACAGCTAGATCTGCCGAAGGTTGAACTAGAAAATTTCGATGGTAATCCTGCTAAGTATTGGAAATTTGTAAAGCAGTTCGAATACTACGTCGAAAGCCGCGTGTTTGACAGTGGCCAGCGACTGCTTTATTTGATTCATTATTGTCGTGGCTATGCCAAGGAGGCCATCAGTGTGTGATGTTGCCTCCCTCTGTGGCCTACGATAGAGCTGGAAAGGTTCTTCGTGAACTCTTTGGAGAAAGCCATGTTGTAGCCAGATCGTTAATTGATGGTGTCATGACTGGCTTGAGGCCACTCTATGCCAATCCAGAAGAATTGTCTAAATTGTCATTGAAAATGGA